GTTCACACCTGCGTGTACATGGGATTGTAGAAGGAAACCTTGGTATGAGAGAACTCATGTTTACCAAAAAGTGAGCTTTAATTTTATCAGTCTTACATGCGCCAAACAAAAATATCAAAGTTTAAAAATTTCGAGTTACACATTCTACTTGTCATTTACTGCTCTGCTAACACTCATTTGTAATGTAGCAAATAATGAGGTGCTGTTTTTGATGTAAACGTGCTGTTTTTAGAAATTAATCAGGTTTCTGACAGTTGAAAGGGCAAATGCATTGGAAATCCAAAAACATAATATGAAACAAAGATTTAGAACTTGATACTGGTAACATTTAATATTCATAAGAAAACACGGTTTACTTATGCATGAAATACTTCTTAACGGAGGAAAACTAGATTTTTATAACACAAAGCTACATTTCTGGTAGAGTTAAAAGTTGTAAATAAACAATGTGAGAAAAATTTCAGAAGAAAACAAAAAATGTGAAGCAATAAATTTTTTAGTGGCCAAAGACTTGATGAAGACTGAAGTCGAAAGCAAACATCCTGGGGTGAACAGTTCAGCACAGTGGGTGAAGTCACTGCTTTTGGATGCTGGTGTCTCATAGCTGAGTACAGGTTGGAGTCCTGCCCACTTTGCTCCTGATCTGACCCCCTAGCTTTTGCCAGGCCTGTCCTTGGCTGTTGTGGGCATTTGGGGAGTGAATCAGTTAACGGCAGCTCTTTGTACCTTTCCTCCTCTCTCTTTCACTCTGCCTTTTAAATAAGCAGTTTTTAAGGAATTACTCTGAATATTTGCTTAGGAAATAAAATAAAACTTCCTGTGTATCTGGATGAAAATAACAAAACAAAACAATATATCTTCAAAACATTTTTACAACAAGTATATTTCAGGTGAAAAAAATGGATCTTCATTTTACAGAAATCTGTGCAAAGCAGGAAAACAACACTGAACTTAATTTTAAATTGGGATATGTATGTGTTGTAGGTATACAAGTGATCCATGGACATAGAAAACAGTATTTAGTGTCTCTGGTGAGAAAAAGAATTTAATTTGAAAGATGAATGAAATGCTACTTTCCATCCACATAGTTTATGATAATGAATAGCAATTTTAGGGGCAAAGGTCAAATTGCTTGTGATTTTTATATTGAGAATTTGGTTCTAAGTACTATGTCACTTTTTTTTAAAGACTTATTTATTTACTTGAAAGAGTTACAGAGAGAGAGGAGAGGGAGAGGGGGAGGGAGGGAGGTAGGGAGAGAGAGAGAGAGAGAGGTTTTCCATCTGCTGGTTCACTTCCCAATTGGCCACAATGGCTAGAGCTGTGCCAGTCCTAAGGCAGGAGCCAGGAGCTTCCTGTGGGTCTCCCACGTGGAAGCAGGGACCAACGAACCCAAACCATCTTCTGCTGCTTTCCCAGGCCATAGCAGAGAGCTGGATCAGAAGTACAGCTGGGACTCGAACTGGCACCCATAGGGGATGCTGGAACTGCAGGTGGTGGTTTTACCTGCTACACCACAGTGCCAGCCCCCTGTGTCATATTTGAAAAATGCATATGCCCTCCACCCTTCAATTTCATTCTTTTTATTTATTTATTTATTTATTTGACAGGCAGAGTGGACAGTGAGAGAGAGAGACAGAGAGAAAGGTCTTCCTTTGCCGTTGGTTCACCCTCCAATGGCCGCCGCGGCCGGCGCGCTGCAGCCGGTGCACCGCGCCGATCCGATGGCAGGAGCCAGGAGCCAGGTGCTTTTCCTGGTCTCCCATGGGGTGCAGGGCCCAAGCACCTGGGCCATCCTCCACTGCACTGCCTGGCCACAGCAGAGGGCTGGCCTGGAAGAGGGGCAACCGGGACAGGATCCGGCGCCCCGACCGGGACTAGAACCCGGTGTGCTGGCGCCGCTAGGCGGAGGATTAGCCTAGTGAGCCGCGGCGCCAGCCCAATTTCATTCTTTTAAAATAACTTTCAGAAGTAGGCATGCCATTTGTTTCTCTTATTAGCGCTTAAAATGGGCATATGTTAAAAAGAACCTACATAATGGACCTATAAATTATGGCGCATTGATAGATTGCTTTGATAGGTGACCATTAAAGGTGGAGTGTCCCACAGATGCATGTGGAAATACAAATATCTAGGCAGTCTGTATAACAAGTGAGAAAAGTGTTTGTTTATACATACACACAAATTGTGGACTGTGTTAGCCAACAAAATGTGATTAAAATTGTTACTTATAGGTATTTGAATTCTTGTGAAATTTTCTTTATCTTGTCATTTCCAGAATGATTGGATGTAGACACTCTAGTTAAATTTTTAATATTATTGAGATTAAAGAATTACTTTGTTTTTAAACATGTTTGTAATGTTAGCTTGTCTCTTCCAAACTATAGAACTTTCAGAAACTAATATTTAATGCCAATCATATGGCTGGAGTTGCCATAAATGTGTTTTTATAAGCTATTTTGCACTTATTGTTAGGCACCATGGATTGTGTGATCAATAGGTATCAATGAGCCATTTTTTCTGTTTTATAAAAACGCTTTATATAAAGATAACACACTTCATGTATTTCATATATACAATGTGAAGAACATAATGGTACTTCCCACCCTATCCTCCCTCCTTGCCTGAATCCCACCCTCTCTCCTACTTTCTTATTTTTCTTTTAAATTTTACAATGACCAAGTTTCACTTTACTTTGTAATCACAAGCTTAACCTTCCACTAAATAAAGAATTCAATAAGTAGTAAGTGGAAAAACAATGTTTTCTCAGGAGTATAGATAAGGGCTATATGCAATCAAATCTGAAAATGTCGATTTCACTCATCTGCGTATTTTGTACTCTGTATGTCAGTTACCACAAATCCAGGAAAATGTTTTAGTTGCTTGTTGGGACTGGTGTATTTCCCTAAGCTTAATGATCTCCAATTGCAAATTGTTGTGAAAGACAGGGTTTCATTTTTTATGGTTAAATAGTATTCCATCATGGTTACATAGCACACATTATGCAGGTCATCAGTTTATGTACATCTGGGTTGATTCCATATCTTAGCTATTGTGAGTTGAGCTACTATAAACATTGGGTTACAGATAACTCTTGCATATGCTTACTTTACTTCCTTTGGGTAAATTCTCTGGAGTGGAATAGCTGGGTCATATCGCAGATCTATTTTTAAATTTTTTTTCCTACTCTCTTCCATAATAGTTATGCTAATTTACGTTCCCATCAACAGTGTATTCGGGTACCTTTTCCCCACACTCTCACGAGCATTCTTTATGTTTTTTGATTTTTGGATGAACACAATTCTAACTAGGGTGAGTGTGGAATTCATTGGCATTTCCCTGATGCCTAGTGATCCTGAGCATTTTTTCATGTGTTTGTTGTCCATTTGTATTTCATGCTTTGAAAAATGTCTGTTAAATTTTCTGCCCACTTCTTAACTGTATTTTCTGTTTTGTTGTTGTTGAGTTTCTTGAACTTCATGTGTATTTTGGATGTTATTCCTTTATCCAATGTATAGTTTGCAGTGTTTTCTCCCACTCTGTTGATTGCCTCTTTACTTTGTTGAGTGTTTTCTTCACTGTGGAGAAGCTTCTTATCTTGATTTAACTCCATTTGTCTTTTTTTGCCTTTATTCCCTGTGCTTCTGATGTCTAATCCAAGAAGTCCCTGACTATGCCAATGAATTATGGTGTTTCCCCTATGCTTTTTTCTAATCATTGTACTGGTTCTGAGTCCTAGGTTTAGATCCCTGAACCACTGAGTTTTTTTTTTTTTTTGTGAAAGCTAAAAAGTATGGATCTTGTTTCCTACTTCCGCATGCAGAGATCGAATTTCCGCAGCACCAGTTGATGAAGAGACTGTCCTTTCCCCAGGGAGTGATTGTAGCACATTTGTCAAAGATCAGTTGATGGTAGATGCATAGATGAATTTCTAAGCTCTCTAATCTCTTCCATTGGTCCAAATGTCTATATCACTTTATTCCAAAACCAGGATAAAAAGTTAACAACCAAGAAAGACAGCTATAGACCAGTGTCACTGATTAACACAGATAAAAATCCTTAACAAATTCTAGCTAATGGAATCCAACAACACATCTAATAAAATCCTTCACCCAGATGAAATGGGATTTATCCCTGATGTACACAGACATTTTGACATATACAGATTAATAAATCTGCTACATCACCTTAAGAAATCAAAGAACAAAACCATAGAACCATTGAATTATCTCAATAGATGCTAAATTTTTAAATGCTGCCAATTACAGTGGGAAAAGTAATGAATTATGATAAGCAGCACTTCAATGTGAGAAATGATAAAGTGAGAGGCATTGAGCATATTCAGAGTCAGTGAATTATAATATTTTCTCTAATGCTTCAAGGATATATGGAAAGTCAGGATAATTATATTATCTTACTCAATTAAAATGCTGTTTTTAAGTCGTGGTATTAGTATAAGCAGCACTTCAATGTGAGAAATGATAAAGTGAGAGGCATTGAGCATATTCAGAGTCAGTGAATTATATTTTCTCTAATGCTTCAAGGATATATGGAAAGTCAGGATAATTATATTATCTTACTCAATTAAAATGCTGTTTTTAAGTCGTGGTATTAGTAATGACTGCGTCTGACAATTACTGAGCTGTTAGTTGTGTCAGCAACCGTTCTAAATATTTTACATAGATTTTCATTGAAGCATCACAATGGTAAACTGAGACAACTACTCTTTTTCTCCCCATTCTTTTAATCAGGAAATTGAGATACTCAAAGTCCTAGTCATAACTTAAAATAGGATTTAACCAAGCTGTGGTTAATGTAATGATCATGTTATTTTTCTTTAATAGGCTTCTCTTTCATTAGTTTAGTGACAAGAAGAGATGATAAAGTTCTTTGTTCATCAGAAAAGTATTTGTTTTGAGGGCAGGGGAATATGCTATTTTATTCTTACGATTATATGAGAAATGGCCTGTTTTGTGATTGTGCAATCTAATTTCCTATAGGACCGCTCTGCACTGGGCCTGTGCAAAAGGCCACCAAGACATGGTAGCTTTCCTCATAAGCCAAAGATGTCTACTTGATCCGCAAGATAAAAGGGCTGCAACACCGCTGATAAAGGTATTTAGTGCCCAACCATCCCAGTATAGGAAGGGCTTGGTTTATATACTTAGAATAAAAATGAATTTATCTTATTTATATATGACTAACTGGTGAAACCATTGGGATGGGGAGTTTTTCTTTGAATTCCTAGAAGTTACAATTTATGATTGGTGTATTACTGGCAGGCTGTACAGTGTCCCGCTGAGAACTGTGCTACACTCTTACTGGATCATGGGGCTGATCCAAATATTGAGGATGAAATTGGCAACACTGCTCTCCACTATGTGGCCTACGGAGAAAATATAAGAATAGCCGAAAAGCTGCTTTCCAGCAATGCAGATATCGAAAAGAAAAATAAGGTATGGATCATCTAACTTAATGTTTAGACTATTGGAAATACATTTTTAAAAGATTGACATGTATAGAAGCAGTTTCTCATATTTGGGAGTACCAGCTGCATCGAATGAAGATATTTTATGAAAACTGTCCCAGATTTAAGTTTAAATATTGATACCATTGCAGAAATACTGGAAAGGACAGACTGAGAGGCATTTATGGCCAGTATTTATGAAAGCACTGAATTTGTTAAAGGTCAGACATATTTTCAAGGATATTTTCCCAGTTACTTTTTTCTAAGCGGTGCAAAAACAGGAGAAGTCCAATTTTGTCTTGACAAAGGCTTTTGCTTAAAACTCAAGAAGAAAGCATGTTGTAGTAAACAGAAATATGGCTGTTGCTGTCCATTTCCTAAATAAGTTTATTTATATAAAAGTTACCTTAGAGTGTCAAGGGTTAACTGGGAAACTTTGCAAGAGAAAAGGATAGAAGAATGAAACATTTGTAAATTAGGTAATTGAGGGAAAATACGGAGATGGGATTTTTGATTTGTTTTTGTTGAGTTTTGTGTAGACCAAGTATTCTTTGATTGAAAGTATAATAACTTGTACTTTCATTAATATCATTAATAAGTTGTAAGTTTGCTTTGGGGAACCATATTTGGAGTGACTAGGTGGTGATGAATGTAGAAAACAAGAGGGAAGAACAAATGATTGACATTTTATTATGGTAGGAAGAGCTGCTGAGGAAAAGTGTCTAAACTCAGCTCTCAAATAGAGAATGTCTTTGTGGGAAAGTAGAAGAAAAGGATCCTACAAATAAATCTAAGTTGGACTTTGAGTTTACTGTTAGTTGATTTATTCCTACTCAAGAAAAATGAAATGGGATGTTCAGTGTGTGTGTCTCTTCCTCATTCCTCGTTTTGGTCAAGTCTCCAAATGATGTGTGTGAGAGGAGAGATGGAAGTGGTGGTTGTCTGCTGCACCAGTTCTCGGCTGGAGTTGTATATCAGAATGACCTGGAAAAACTTACAAGTCTAGTTAGTCTCTCCAAGAGTATTTTATTTCAGTAAATCTTACTACGTCTTTACATGTATACTTAAAAACCTATCTCTCTTGGCCGGCGCCGTGGCTCACTAGGCTAATCCTCCGCCTAGCGGCGCCGGCACACCGGGTTCTAGTCCCGGTCGGGGCGCCGGATTCTGTCCCAGTTGCCCCTCTTCCAGGCCAGCCCTCTGCTGTGGCCAGGGAGTGCAGTGGAGGATGGCCCAAGTCCTTGGGCCCTGCACCCCATGGGATACCAGGAAAAGCACCTGGCTCCTGGCTCCTGCCATCGGATCAGCGCGGTGCGCCGGCCGCAGCGCGCCGGCCGCGGCGGCCATTGGAGGGTGAACCAACGGCAAAAGGAAGACCTTTCTCTCTGTCTCTCTCTCTCACTGTCCACTCTGCCTGTCAAAAAAAAATAAATAAATAAAAATAAAAATAAATTAAAAAAAAACCTATCTCTGAGAGTCTGACAAAACCCTTGTTAAGAACCACCAAACTGTTAATTGTAATGTGTAAGTTCTTAGGTCTCAAAAACTATTAAGAATCTTGAGAAGAGTTAGAGTTTGATGGATGCTACATTCGAACAATACTAACCTCTGATTTTATCTGTCTTTCTTTTCCTTTGTAGTTATAAATTCAAAGAGATAATACTAATAATTCTCAGCCTACAGAATAACACTTACGGATAGTTTTACAAAGAAATGTATATTGCAAGCAGGGCTTTATGGTTAGAATTATAGCAAATTATGAACCTTTTTCCTCATTGAAGCTTTATGATACACAATCAAATCTTGTTGTGTTGAATTCATGGAGCGCTGACACATAATCACTATGGCAGACTTAAAATTGAAAGCCATGGTAGTGTTAAGAATATTTGGATGGACATTCTTTTAATAGTTCAGTTTCAACATTCCTGTATCTCAAATATCCATTTGACTAAAACCTGTCAGATTTAAATACAAATGGATGGTTATTTAACTGTTGGAAAATAGTATATTGGGTGTGCCCTGTTGACTACATAGTGGGCCTGATCTTTCTTTTTGTGAATTAGGTGATGCTAAGAAAAGTGAAGATATTACATGTTAATACCTGCTTTATACAAAATCATTTGGAAATGCATTGCCAGCTGATACAAAGACTCAAAGGAATCGACTGAACATGGTGCAGAGATGTGTGTAGTTTGCCTCTGTAAATTGTTTCAAAATACAAAATTTGGGAGACTGATGCACACCTCTGACTGTCAGGATTATCTGAAGGATTCCAATCAGGGATCCTTGAGCTCAGATTACTGAGTTGTATGCTGTACAGAAGGTTTCCTATTTTTAAAAGGCAGATACCCTCCAGTTTGCTTCTCTCCCCACCAAGGGGAACACAGGATGCATGGCTTTGTTATATTTCTCAAACAGATGATCATGACATTTTTCTGTTGGTGGACAGTATATAATTTGTGCAAAAGTAAATGTTCTTGGAAATATGTATTGAGAAACACTATTTTTGAGACAATAATTTAGGTCATCAGTTGAATAAGAATGCTTGAAATATTAACTACTATGTCTTAGGGTTTAGGGCTACAGAGGTAAAACATGTAGCCCTTGCCTTCCAGAGGACCTTGTGTTTTTATTGTGTGCAATCAAATAATTGTAATATTCCATGGTGAGTGTTTTGATGGAAGCAGTGAACCCTGGAATGCAATTGTTTGGAGTGAGTCTTGGTGATGAGTAGGTTCCATGCAATGAGGCAGTGGAGAGGAGAGTTTTAAGAGGAATGTGCAGCACATGTGGAAGCACAGGGTGGGAAGAAAGAGCCTCCTTTAATTTACCTTCTACATTTGATGTCCGAGTTTGCATTGTCATCTGAAATATGTTCAGTTCTGTTGAGAAATATGTAATAATGTGAATTGTGAATCATTTTTTACAGACTGGCCTCACACCACTGTTAGTGGCTATTCAACAAAACCAAGAAACTATGGTTAAATTTTTAATATTACAGAATGCAGATGTTTTTGCAGTTGATAATCTAAACAGGTAAATTATTTCATTCTATATTTTAAACTCAGTGATGTTTATGAGTTATAAAGTGATTCAAGTCAGAAATATGAAATAAAATGTTAGTATATTATTGAGATACAATGAAAAGTAACAATAAAAATCTATCTGGTAGGAAAGCAATTATGCATACTGGCCAACACAAGGAGCTACATAGGAATGGTCATATTCTCTTATGATAGTGACTGATATATTTTAATAGTAATCTGATTTTTGGTTGTATAGTCTGATATTAATGAAAGGTTATTCATTTTAGTTTTACTGTTTTAATAAATATGAGTCACTATTGAGCTTCTTAAACATTCTGTAATATTTTTAAAATTTTTCCACCGACGGAGGGAAGACCTTTCTCTCTGTCTCTTTCTCACTGTCCAACTCTGTCAATAATAAATAAATAAATAATCTTAAAGAAATCTTTTTTTCCTACGTACTCTACTTTTTTTTTTTGACAGGCAGAGTGGACAGTGAGAGAGAGAGACAGAGAGAAAGGTCTTCCTTTGCCGTTGGTTCACCCTCTAATGGCCACAGGCGCAAGGCGCTGATCCAAAGCCAGGAGCCAGGTGCTTCTCCTGGTCTCCCATGGGGTGCAGGGCCCAAGCACTTGGGCCATCCTCCACTGCACTCCTGGGCCACAGTAGAGAGCTGGCCTGGAAGAGGGGCAACCGGGACAGAATCTAGCGCCCACATACTCTACTTTTAAAAATGCTGTAGTATACATAAATAGGAATTGAAAATCATTTTGTCTTTTTGCTGACTTTTTTTTTGTTAATTTCTTTCTTCAAAGTATATTGATGTTAAGTTATACTTAAGCGACTGTAGGTGGTTATTAGCAGATAGTATGATTTTATCGTTTTTTTCATTCTGCTTTATTTTGATATTTGATATTTTTAAAAGCATGGTTTTTAAAAAATTCTATGAGAGAGAGATTAGAGAAACACACAGAGAGAGAATTAGAACTCTCTCACTTCAGTTTCACTGCTCAAATGCCTGCAACAGTTCAGGCTGGGCCAGATTGAAACTTGGAGCTAAGAATGCAATAAAGACTTTCATGTAGTTGCAGGAATCTAATTATCTAAGCTGAATATAACTAATGTCTTCCGGGGTCTGTATTAGTAGGAGGCTACACATAGAAGATGAATCTGGGAGTCAAACCAGGTAGTCTGATATGGGAAGGGGACTTCTTAATTGGTGTCATAATACCAAGATTAAATGCCTGATCCTTATAATTTTATTTGTAATTAGTATGGGAAGAGGGAAGAAATGTATTTACTTAGATAAGCTTTTCCTTTGATGATGACAAATAATAAATGAGAAAGAGAAAAGACATATAACACAAGGCTTAATTCTCAGATGTCCAACCTGTTGGGTGTGCAACCTTGGGAACATTAACTATTAAATCGAACCTGAAGTGAAAGTGGGATAGTAATGTATCCTGTCTTTCAGATGTAGTTGTATATAATGTCATATATAAAATGTAATTCAGTAGCTGACACGTGGTTGTCACCATTGCTAACTGAAACTGCTGTGACTATTATTGCTATATAATATAAGAGCTTTATGCTTTCAGATAGCTTTTACTTACCTGACTGGGATATATTTAATATTTAAAACTGGGGAAGTAAGAGTGAATTCTTCACTTAAAACTGCCTGATTTAAACAAGTGATCTCAATGGTGTTACTATCCCTTAAAGACTTCAAATTAGTAACTTCTATGGAATACCCCAGTTAGACAAGAGGCTTTATTTTGTTTCTTTCTCTTTAAGCCTGGAGATAATTTCTGGAGATGAGCATTTGATATTCCAAGATGCTTATGTCCATTAATACAAGTAAATGATCACATATACATAGGCAAGATATTAACTTGGTAAAATAGAGCAACTCAGCTGTTTGAGTAGCCTCATTGAAGTTTTTAATGAAGTTCTCTTTCTGTTATTTTAGAACATCCCTCATGTTTGCGGGACGGTATAGTACGGAAAACATAGTACACATGCTTCTTGAACTAGGGGTTGATGTGCTTTCTGAAGACATTGCTGGACATTCTGCTAGGGATTATGCTCTTCAAAAACGTAATATGTAAGTGTTTACACTAACATTGTAATCAACATGAAGTTGAGGTGTAAGTACTTCATGTTTTCAGATGACTTAGCTCTCACAGTTTTTGGAATGGCAGTGAGTCCCTTTACTTCAACAGTCAGAAACTAAACAGAGGGGCAGGTGCTGTGATGTAGAGGGTAAAGCTGCCACCTGAAGTGTTGGCATCCCATATGGGCGCCAGTTTGATTCCTGGCTGCTCCACTTCTGATCCAGTTCTCTGCTATGGCCTGGGAAAGCAGTAGAAGATGGCCCAAGTCCTTGGGCCCCTGCACCCGCATGAGAATCCCAGAAGAAGCTCCTGGATCCTGGCTTCAAATCGGTGCAGCTCTGGCCATTGCAGCCAACTGGGGAGTGAACTATCAGATGAAGCCCTCTCTTCCTCCTCCTTCCCCTCCCCCTCCCCTCTTCCTCCTCCTCCCTCTCCCCTCCCCTCCCCCTCTTCCTCCTCCTCCCTCTCCCCCTCCCACCTCCTCCTCCTAGTGCTTCTCCTGTCTCTGTGTAACTCTGACTTTCAAGTAAAATAAATCTTTAAAACAAAAAGAAACCAAAGAGAAAGGTCAGCTAGTTAGAAGTACAGATGGGTACAAATTCTTTATCTCTGAGATTTGAAGGTCTTTATCCCTGCGACTGCCCACATTATCCATATCATTTCAAATACAACCCCTGCCATGACCCTCCAAACAGTGTCACACCTTCCTAGTTCTACTTAGTTGGTTAGGCCTTCAGTGTCCAGATTAGCAGGAAATTTCATATTTTGACCTGGGAGCTGCCTCTTAAATTCTTTTTCTTGAGTTTTACAAGAAGCCAGGAAGTTCCATAAGCCAGACAAGGCAATCTTCCTTCATCAGAGAGATAAGGTTCTCAAGGCAATCTTCCTTCATCAGAGAGATGGGGTTCTAATAATTCTTATTTTTTATTGCTTCCTTTGTTACCAGGATTCTTTTACTGATCCAGATCCCCAGTCTTTGTGGTGATGTGCACTTATATCCTGAGATTAAAATGTCTGTTTGTTGACTGACATATGCCTATATACTCAGTCACTGTCCACAAAGTATTAACACCCCACTCTGGCTTCCTAGGTTTTGGCATGTATGTAGCCAAAAATAGGCTATTTATGAGAACCTCAGGTGGCATCTACTTCTTAGCCTTAAACCTTCATGATGTGTTCTTTATAAGGTTCTTGACTTTGCTAGTAGTTTCTACTTGGTACCATTCTGTTGTCAGACAAATTCAGATAATGTAGGAAAAGATGAGAGTTTATTTAATGTTTTGCACCAGATATGTACCCTAAGGCTTCTTTATAGTCTGGGCACATATGTTCTTGGTTTGTGGAATGTCCCATGTATGTTTCTGTGCTCCAGAGTATGTGTTGGACCTAAGGTGATTTGTTTGCTGTAATAGTGAAGATGGAAATCTAAATTATGTGCATTTTATATCAGATTTTCAAAGTAGTTTTTAAATTCTGCCTCACAACAAGCCATTCTTGAGAATTCTCTGAATCTAAAGTATGTTATATGGATTTAAGTGAGCTAAGCCCCATGCATAACTTCTCAGAAACCATGTAATAAAGTGCAGTTTGATCTTCCAAGTTAGGTGGAGTTGAACAGGGACGTTAAGCATCATACTAGCAAATATCAACTGGTTCAGAGTTTGAATCCTTGAAAGGAATAGTAATAGTCTGCCCCAGTACTTGACAGCTCTTCGTTTTGTACCCTTAGTGTGAATGATCACATCAATTATGTTACCTAACTTAGTGAAGTGATATATTTACAAATGCATGTAGCTGCAATATGTTAAGTAGATGAGGTATCTATGGTTACAGCTGTATGGAGTAACTAATAGCCAGAATGAGAAACTAATGACATTTCCTGTAGCCTGAACAGTGAAAAAACACACTACAGGTTTTCTTTGGGATTCCAAAATAGTTTCAGTAGTAAATTTCAAGAACAAAGTATTCCATTGCTTGATTTCATTGAGCATTTATATATTTTATATATTAACGCATTAAATCATTAAATCTCTATAACTACTAGTGAAGACATAGGAAAATCCTTACTCTTTAGAAGAGTTTGACTTGCCCATACCTGTTGGCTACAGAGCTGAGTCTTCTGAGTTTATGATACCTTATTATGTCCTGCTAATTTTAGTTAATTTATTGAGTTATACCACCTTTAATTCAGGACTTCTTCACCTTACTGTTTTTCATCTTAACAATAAGTTTAAGAAAATTATATTGTAGAACATATAATTATGAAGTGCGTTGGCATAATGTAAGTTCTGGTACTAACTTTGAACTATCAGAAATATTCTAAGGATTTGATACATTTGATAGTTGTCCTTATCAATACTGAAACAATTTTATTCATTCTTATACATAGGCAAAATTACCAACTCATTTCGTTGTTTCAAGAAAATGCTGTACTTGAGAAGATTGTAAATACAAATCCAGGTAAAACTTCTCCAGCTAGTCCCAACATAGGAAAAAAAATATAAACATAAGAAGTAGTTGATCACAGAAGAGCAGTTACAGATAAGTCAATGATTAATTATATGTGTGTTTTTCTTAATCTTTCTTAGGAATCAAGTATTTAGAAATTTTAGAGGTTTATTGTAGGATATTTGTAATCTGAAGCACTATTATTTGAAGAAAATCACTAATTGTGGCCCTTTATCTCTTTGTGTCATTTGTGTAATTTAGAAAAAGATACATATCTGTATATGTGTGTGTGTGTGTATGTCTGTGTCTGAGAGGCACGGAGACTTACAGAGCAAAGCTGCCATCTACCAATTTGTCCTCCAAATGCTCACAATGGCCTCGTTTGGATGGAAGCCATAGACAGGAGTCAGGAACTCCATCTAGGTCTTCCACGTGCTTGGGAGGAGCTTGATTACTTGAGCCTCACTGCCTCTGTGAGTTTGCACAGGCAGCAAACTGAAGTCAGAACATGGAGTTGGTAATCAAACTCAGCTACTCACACATGGTTACATGGCCAAGAACTTGGGACATCTATTGCTGATTTCCTAGACCCGTTAACAGGAAGCTGGATTGGAAGTGGAGCAGCCAAGACTTGGACTGGAAACCATGAGGGAGGCCAGCACTGTAGGCCGTGACTTTATCTGCTGTGACATAGCACTGGGACCCTACAATCTTTTATACTTATTCTATTAGTGATACAATTGTCTCTCAGTTGGATTACAGTCTTTGTATAGAGCATATGTTTTCCATATCATCTTAATTAATTGTATTATTCACTTTACATTGATAAATTCAAAGTAGCAGAAGTAAGGTTCCATAATGGCTATCAATGATGTAGTTAATAATCACTCTGCTATAACTTGTAAGTATGATCAAAAGCATCTTTTCTTTTAATTTTTATTTTCAGTTTATGTGAAATGTGGAGATGCAGAGCTATAGATAGCCAGTAGAGAGTGTTATTTCCTTCTCTGATAATTTCTCCCTAAATTCCGGCAATATCTGGGGCTGGGCCAGACAAAAGCAGGACTCAGATGGGTCACAAAGACCCAATTACTTAAGCCATAACCTCCTGCCTCTCAGGGTACGCTGAGAGCTCAGTTTGAAAGCAAAGCTGAGACCCAAACCCAGGCACTCCAGTATGATGTGAGCATCTAAGAAGCATCATAACTTCTGTGTCAAACACCTGGCTCCAAAGCTGTAATTTTTAACAATGTACTATATATTATAACATTCTATATTATTCTATCATTGATTTAATTTAAAATGTATTTACTTTTCTTTAATAGATGATGAGCATTCTAAAGAATATAGAAAAAGGTAGGGTTTAATGATTTTTAAAACCATTTGTTAACTAATGGAAAGCAAAGAAATGCATTATGTATTCTCCTCTGGGCTGGATTGGATATTGTGTACTTAACATTTGTTGCTTGTCATAATTGTCCAACCAGTTTTCAATGTATGTGTTAATGTAGTTTATTTCCTACTATTTAGGCAACTATAGTGCTGAGGGGTTGATTGATTGGCCTATGAACCTGTAGTAAAATAATTAACTGACCCATATCAGCCTGCCTTACTCCCAAATGGATTCTCTTACCCTTTAGCATGGATGGATACAGACTTATACAATAGTGGCATCAAGATACAGGTCCAATTCAGATAAATTCTGAATTTACAATGGCTAATATATGGAATCAAACTAGATGCTCATCAACTGATGAATCAATAAAGAAATCCTGCCATATATATGTTGTGTGTGTGTATATATATGTATATGAATATATATATATCTTCCATCCATGGTTCATCCCCAAATAGCTGCAAGTGGCTGGAGCTGAGCTAAATCCAAAGCCAGGAATGAGGAGCTTCTTCCTGGCTCTCACATGAGTGCAGGGACCCAAGGACTTGGGCTATTTTCCGTTGCTTTCCCAGGCCATAAGCAGACAGTTGGAAAGAGTAGCTGCAACATGAGCCAGTGCCCAACGGGATGCTTGCACCACAGGTGGATTTTTAGAGTCACTGGGAAGAGTCCATATCAGATAAGACTGTAATGCTATATCATCTACTTCATGGTCCCCCACACTCAGAGGGGTAGGTAATCTAGTCTCCCTTGAGCACTAGGGGCCTGGAGGTGGATGATCTGCAAAGAACTTGGTCCAGGGCAGATGTCCTCTCATGCCCACCTCTTCTTTCCATTTTCTGATGTCTCTCCCTGGTATGTATTTGGTAAGAGGGGGATAGGATTAGCTGGTAAACCCTACAGAGCTACGTGTGTCTTGCTGTGGCAAGATGACTGAGCCTCAATGTAGCTTGTTTTTTAGAAGAGGGAAAGTAGTGCCTACAATTGTATGTTTGGGCCGGTGCCGCGGCTCACTAGGCTAATCCTCCGCCTTGCGGCGCCGGCACACCGGGTTCTAGTCCCGGTTGGGGTGCCGGATTCTGTCCCAGTTGCCCCTCTTCCAGGCCAGCTCTCTGCTGTGGCCAGGGAGTGCAGTGGAGGATGGCCCAAGTGCTTGGGCCCTGCACCCCATGGGAGACCAGGAGAAGCACCTGGCTCCTGCCATCGGATCAGCATGGTACGCTGGCCGCAGCGTGCCGGCCGCGGCAGCCATTGGAGGGTGAACCAACGGCAAAGGAAGACCTTTCTCTCTGTCTCTCTCTCTCACTGTCCACTCTGCCTGTCAAAAAATAAAAAAAAAAATAAAAGAAAATAAAAAAATACAGTTGTATGTTTGAGTCCACTCTTTTCTCAGGGTTCTGTGCTTTGTAGGTTTAATACGTTAATGTTTGAAGTTGTATGTGTTTGTAAGCTTTTTGTTACTTACAGAAAAAATATCTGTTGGCTAACATACAGAGGAATAGGATTTATTTTGGCATAAAGTTTTGAGATTCACAGTCCAAGAACAGGTGGCAGCATGATGAGGATGTTGGTTGGTGGAATGAATACAAAGGGAGAATAACACGGTGCACCCAGCAGCAGAGAGAACAGTTGTATAGTTCACTGCTCTCATGAGAACTTCATTCACAATACAAGCCCCCGGTGACCTAAAGACCTCCTTTAGGCCCAACACCTAGACATCATAGTTGCATTGTTTCTACTTTTAATCCATTGACCATTACCATTTATCCATTAAATAAGACTTTGCAATCTAGCCACAAATACATGGGCCTTTTGTTGATATCTGAACTCTTATCCAAACCACATCACTGTGCTTGACACCAGAAGAGTTATTTGGGGTTAGGAGCTCATAGGAGGCAAGATATTTAGATACCATTAACAGAAACAAAAGTACAGGTACCATGACTCTTCTCAGCAGCATCTCCCTTCTAAGTACATAAGCACCTATAGTCTTACTGGTTTACGTTTACCTGAATGAGGAAACAGCAACACTTATTTGGGAAAATCACTGAACATCTTAATATTCTGAGAAGGGCATTTCCAACAACAACCTACACATTTGTTCTGTGATGTATATATCTTTAGCTTTCAAATATTTCAGATGGTTCTAGGGATTCTTGGTATTATTTTAAGGTGCTGGAAACAACAGGCCTTTTAAAGTGATTTCTGTGCTGAAGAATTAAGATTGCATTTTGGCATGACACAGCTTGGTCTATAAACTGAAAGCAGGCAGTGTAAGATAAGTTATATACCTTTCTCGCTTACCATAGGTGACAGTGTTCATTGCCTTGAGGTAATGAAATGTATGGCAGCCACGGATGAAATTTGCATAAGCATCTTCAGGGTGAACAAGTTGTAAAGTTTCTGCTAGTATATTGATGTTCACAGATTTTTTATGGGATGTATTATCTTCACCAAATATTTCAGTGGGGTGAGAGTAGTGTAGGCAGAAATAGATGATGAAAAGTTTTTCTAAAACAAGAGTCAAATTTTCATTGTACCAAAAAATACCATTTAGCAGAAGTTTAGTTGATGTTCCCCTGATTTTTTATAGAAAATATTTAACTATTTTTCTTATATATTTTTGTGCACAAGGCTTTTGGAAATACCTGATGTTAATCATGAACTGCTTATATCATATGAGGAAGGCCTCAATCATTTGCCAAGGTAAAATGCTCTATTATGGAATTAATTTTCTTGCTCCGAGTTTTTGTTGACTCTATGTCTACTCCCACTTTAATGTACTGCAGTAAGTGCCTTCCGTGGACATATTCTTCTTTTCCTAGGACAGTGCCTATGCTTTGATTTACAGAATAAATGTCTTAGTGAGTGAATGGGTGGTGGGACAACTGAGTGAACATGCTTGCTGAGGTTGTGTTTTTTTTTTCTTATAGAAAGACTTAATAATTCCAGGACATACAACTGCCATCATTCACAGTGCACCAGAAGAGCAACCCAATAACGACAGAGTAACTCGTGTTCATGGAGTCCATGAAGATAACAAATGTGGTAAGTGGATCAAAATTTCTTTTGTAAATTTTAAAATTGAACATTTTTTAACATTTGATATATTATATATGTGCACTTATATACATTTTTCTCAAAAACAGTAATATTAATGTAAGAAAAATGTGGGATTCATCACAATGCTAACAGTGAGGAAAGAAGGATGTATTGATGAAATCCATTAAAGACAATATGATTATAGACCAAATAATACGGTATCCATGCACTTTTTGTACTTTCTATAGCTTCCATATATAAAACATGTGAGATTTGGTTTTGTGTGACTGGCTTATTTCTCTAGGATAGTGATTTCCAGTTCCATCCAGTGTATGAAAACCTTCTATTTAAATGTTATTGTATGAAGTTTAATGTGAAGCCATAAATATGCTACCCAATGTATTTTATTGTTTTTTTTTTTAATATCTTTCTTCATAGGAACAAATTCTTCTTCCTGAAACTTCGTCAACCCTTTGGAATTCTTTCTTGCTGTTACTTTTACATATTGTTGAATTACTCATGGAGATGTGTGTGTGTGTGTGTGTGTGTGTGTATTTATATTTGCTCTAATGAGGCTTTAATGTATGTACATTTACTGGAACATTTTGAGGAAGAAAAGCACAACAAGAAAATTTGCTTTTCTCAGGACTGAATCATAGAGTAAAGCTATGGGGATAACCACATGATGGCATGGCATAGAAATAGTAGAACAGATCAATTTAATGACTAGAAAATCCAGAGTTAAATTAAAATATAAATTAGCATATTTTTTAAATTGATAAATGGAACTTTATTTCAGATGGTTCTAGGGATTCTTGGTATTATTTTAGGGTGCTGGAAACAACAGGCCTTTTAAAGTGATTTCTATGCTGAAGAATTAAGATTGCATTTTGGCATGACACAGCTTGGTCTATAAACTGAAAGCAGGCAGTGTAAGATAAGTTATATACCTTTCTAGCCTTACCGTAAGTGACAGTGTTCATTCCCTTAAGGTAACAAAATGTATGACAGCCACGGATGAGATTTGCATAAGCATCTTCAGGGTGAACAAGTTGTAAAGACCAGTTATTCTCAGTTTCTGCAAGTATATTGATGTTCATGAAAAGTGAATAGTGATAAGAAACAAAATTTTAGTTCTTCCAATATACCACCAAGGGTATAATAAATAACCTGGAAAGAATATTTGTATAAGATATATTTCAACAAAGACACAGCTATTATCCAAACTGTTTAGAGAACTCTTAAAGCTAAATTTAAAAAATACCAAACAGACTTAAAAATAGGAAAAATAGTGGAACAAATACCTTCCCATGGAAGATAAACAGATGGCAGGTGAACTTAAGAAGTGATTCTGAACATCATGAACTGCTAGGGATTTCAAAACAGTGACAACAGTGATTGCAGATAAGGAAATAGAACAATAGGGATACTCATTCATTGCTCTTCCATATGCAAAATAGTATAGCCACTCTGGAAGATAATCTATGGCCATACACCCTGAATGCGCCTGATCCCATCTGTGTATGTGTATTTAGAATTCATAATAACGTTTATTATCAGATCTATGACTACCTCTTATAGAAATGGTGTTTACTTTAGGAGCAGAAGATGAAGCTAAAGAATCAACTTCAGACCCTGAGGTACTGTCTCTTGTTATGATATTTTAAATATAAGCACTAAGTGATGTTCAAATCTAGAATGGAGTGCTTGTTTCTTCTGTCTTTTTAAAAACAGGCAGAAGACAGAGCCCTGAAGCTGTGCCCAGCAATTCAGCCGTATAGGCAGGGACCTGCTGTCTGCCCTGTAAAGCAGCCTGGCTCTGGCTGTGGGCAGGGGCAGGTGGCAGGTGGAATCTGGGGACTGCTGGTAGCATCAGGGGTACTTGCTGTCCCCAGGACAGAATAAGGGATAGCCGCAGTGTTGCTGCAACCACTTGGGTCTGGGGATTTGGAAAGAGGCAAAATGGAGTCTTTCTTTTTCTTTTCTTTTTTTTTTTTTTTTGACAGGCAGAGTGGACAGTGAGAGAGAGAGACAGAGAGAAAGGTCTTCCTTTGCCGTTGGTTCACCCTCCAATGGCCGCCGCGGCCGGCACGCTGCGGCCAGCGCACCACGCTGATCCGATGGCAGGAGCCAGGAGCCAGGTGCTTTTCCTGGTCTCCCATGGGGTGCAGGGCCCAAGCACCTGGGCCATCCTCCACTGCACTCCCGGGCCACAGCAGAGGGCTGGCCTGGAACAGGGGCAACCAGGACAGAATCCGGTGCCCCGACCGGGACTAGAACCCGGTGTGCCAGCGCCGCAAGGCAGAGCATTAGCCTAGTGAGCCGCGGCACTGGCAAAATGGAGTCTTTCTTAGGGCAAAGAAGGCCTTCAGACACAGTCAGCTTTCTAGGTAAATGAAAACCGAGGACGGTGGAATTCTGTAGTTAGGGCCACTGCTCTGCCATAATGGTGGGAATCTTAGAGGCTTCTGCTTACTTTCCTCAGCGAGATAGAGTCCCCCTGGCCATAACACCAGCGTAGGAGCTACAGTATACTTTCTTCTTGCCTCTCTCTGTACTGGCTCTCTGAGCCTATTGCCATTTAGAGTTGTCCTTACTTCCTTACCAAAGATTTCCTTCAGTCAGTCTCTTAGACACTGGGTGTTTCCTTTGCTGTGCTGGTTCTTCCCAGCGGTGGAGGTGAGTGCAGGGCCTCTGTATGCAGCTTTTTTTTCCTCTCTTCTCTCTCTCAGACCTCATCATACTAAGCATTAGAAATGAGCAAGCCTCACACCATGAGACAGCCATAATCATGGTGATATTTATATTGTCACTTGTGGAAAACATAATGTGAAATGAATGTCACATTTTAGGAGCTAAAACATGACTCCCTATTTATCTCTTTGTAGAGATTTTTATAACTTTGAAGATATTGCCTAGTTGGAAAAGAGTTGCATATGTACCTTACACATGTATTTGCTTACTGTTGTTTGAACATTACACAAAGGAAAGATTTCCTGACTACGTTGCCATTTGACTCAACCCATAGTAAAAGTTCTGAGAAAAAAAAATAGTTGGAGTACTCAGGTCCTAGCATTGGTGTGGCTGAGCCCTGGCCCGTACAGGCTTTTGGAGAGTGAATTAGCAAATGGCACCTCTGCAGGCCTACTTCTCTGTGCCACTCTATTTCATTTTCTCTTCTTCCTGTTTCCTTCTGTCTCCTTATTTTTTGTGAGAAACTGAGATAATTTTTAAAATACAAAAGGAATAGTCTGGCAGCTCAACCTGCTTAATCAGAGTACTGACTCTCAGGACTTTGTTTTGTGACATTTAAAGCAATCAAGGCTTTTGAAAAACAGTCCTCCTGTAGCCTCTTATATTTTTTCACAGAACTATATTTTTAACAGATTTGAAAAATGCTTATTACCATAAACTCCAGAAGCACATATTCTCACTATAGTAAGAAATGTATGTAATATTTCAATTTATAAATTAAAATTTTATTTTAAATTCTTGAAACAAATGTAGAAATATGAAATTTTGTATGCTGCAAACGTATGTAGAAATATGTAATTGAAAAATTAAATCTCATAGGTTCTGCCTTTTTATTTTCGTTTTCCAAATTTCAGAATTCAGTTTATGTTTACATTATTTGCTTATATTATTTTAATGTTTTACAAATATTTATTTATATGTATTTTCTTATTATATGCTTTTTCTGAGTGATTTTGTCTATTCCCATTTCTTTTGAAAAATTTTTAGTGACTAAATATGACACATTTATGGGTCACAGTATTGTATTTCAGTGCATTATATATATATGACTATATATTTGTCTACTCCCATTTCTTTTCAAAATTCTTGAGTGACTAAATATGACACATTTAAGGGCCACAGTGTGGTATTTCAATACATGTATATTATGTGTACTGAGCAAAACAGGATGACTAAGATTTTTCATTCCTTCGTGTTACTTTATGATTGCAGGTTTGAGGATTCTTGTGTTTGCTCATGCAGTGTGTGTTAGGTTATTGTAAAACATAATTCCCTCACAACTTTGTTCTTGCCTCTCTCTGTACTGGCTCTCTGAGCCTATTGCCATTTAGAGTTGTCCTTACTTCCTTACCAAAGATTTCCTTCAGTCAGTCTCTTAGACACTGGGCGTTTCCTTTGCTGTGCTGGTTCTTCCCAGCGATGGAGGTGAGTGCAGTAGGAAGTCATTCCTTCAATGTAACTCTGGTTTCTTACCCCTATTTCAAATTTTCTCTATCCCCCATAACCTCCCACCCTCTACTTTTTGTTTTGTGTTCAATGTTAGTTTTTTTTTTCCTTTGACACAATGTGGTTTCTAAGTTCTCTGTGTGCATCAAATCTCGTATTGCCTAACTGAAGACATTTTCGTACATTGTGTATTTCCTGCCAGAGTGATCCCTTAAACTATTTGTAATCATGTAGTTCAACTGCTTATTGAGTAGATTTCCATTCCAGTAGGGGAGAATTCACATTCCAGCATGACCATTGGTTTGGTCCTTAGGTCTTAAATCTGCCGTACATCACTAAACCCCATTCTACTAAGGACGTTCTCATTGTAGCTCCATATCTGGGGCTGCTAATTTGCCTTGTTTATTGCTATACCATATTTTGCCTCATCTGTGCTGTATACAATGCCTTCATGTCTTACTTTTGATTTCATTTGATCTGCGTTTCAAAATGTAGCCCCAAATAAACAATATTTGCTGACCTTCCAAGATTAACTCGAGGATACACGTCTCTGCCTATTCTTCTACTATATATACTTCAACAATGCATACAGTGATTTATACTTTCCTGTTGTATTTTCCCATGTCTACCTCTAGCTGAACATGGGGTAGAATCTGCTGTTTGTTTATATGCTTAGATTTTTCAAGGACTGGGCCTATGACTTGATACACATAGTAAATCCTGTCTCACTGAATGAGTAGCTGAGGGGTTGAGAAATTGGATATATGTGTTGAATTTGTATTTTATTGTTCTGTAGGCAGGAACGTCAGCTCTAGCGGGTAAGAAGAGTAAAAAATGTTTTTTCATCACTCAAGTTGCTCCACACCAGCTAATTATGAACTCTGATCACGGATTGGACAAAGATAACAAACATAGTGAGTGCATATCTATCAAAACTTACTATTGAAATACAATGAAGAGAAATGAGTAGCTCTGAATTGGGTATCCATGTATGTTGAGGGTTTTCTTTGGCTTTTTTTAATATAACCAACTTCTTCCTGAAACAGCTTCAACCCTCTGAAATTCATCCTTACTATTCCTTTTATTTCATTGAAATATTCGTTTCATTGCAATAGTCATGAGTGGAGAGAGACACGCCTTTATGTAAATTGTTTCCATGTGAATAAATGTTCTCACTAGTTGATCTGTTACTGCATTTGTAGGTAAGGAGTCTACCTCCCAAAGAGATCCTGAAGACAACAACTCACCAAGGAATTCGAAGGTAGTGTGTCTTCTTGTGATTTGGAAATACCTGATTTCAGTGATGTTAAAACAAAACTGGTGTTTGCTTGAAGGTATAAAGTTACTTGAGAGACAGCTACTTACATAAGACAGGCAGATAAACATTTTCGCTATCTAGAGAAGGGGTGGTGTGATATCTCTTTGAGGCACCGATATGCATTTCCCTGGTGGATGGTGATGTTGAACATACTGTCATATTGATTGCCATTTCTATCTCTTATTTTGAGACAGGTCTGTTGAGGTGCTGTGTCCATTTCTGAGCTAGATTTGTTGTTTGTTCATATATTCTTTTTTTTTTATCTTTTGTTTAATGAATATAAATTTCCAAAGTACGACTCATGGGTTACAATGGCTTTCCCCCCCATACCGTCCCTCCCACCCACCACCCTCCCCTTTCCCACTCCCTCTCCCCTTCCATTCACATCAAGATTCATTTTCGATTATCTTAATATACAGAAGATCAGCTTAGTATACCTTAAGTAAGGATTTCAACAGTTTGTTCCCACACAGAAACATAAAGTGAAAAATAATAGATGATTTTTTTAAATGATGATGAAATCAGATCAGACCTATTGTCATGTTTAATCCCAGTGAGAGTCAAGTTGGGAATTGATAATTTTTTTTTAACAGAAGATCAGTTTAGTGTACATTAAGTAAAGATTTCAATCGTTTGCACCCCCATAGAAACACAAAGTGAAATATACTGTTTGAGTACTCGTTATAGCATTAAGCCTCAGTGTACAGCACATTAAGGACAGAGATCCTACATGAGGAGTAAGTGCACAGTGACTCCTGTTGTTGACTTTACAAATTGACACTCCTGTTTATGGCATCAGTAATCTCCCTATGCACCAGTCATGAGTTTCCAAGGCTATGGAAGCCCCTTGAGTTCTCCGACTCTTATCTTGTTTAGACAAGGTCATAGTCAAAGTGGAGGTTCTCTCCTCCCTTCAGAGAAAGGCACCTCCCTCTTTGAAGACCTGTTCTTTCCACTGGGATCTCACTCACAGAGATCTTTTTGCCAGAGTGTCTTGGCTTTCCATGCCTGAAATACTCTCATGGGCTTTTCAGCCAGATCCGAGTGCCTTTAGGGCTGATTCTGAGGCCAGAGTGCTATTTAGGACATCCGCCATTCTATGAGTCTGCTGAGTATCTCACTTCCCATGTTGGATCACTCTCCCCTTTATTTATTCTATCGGTTAGTGTTAGCAGATACTAGACTTGTTTATGTGCTCCCTTTGACTCTTAGTCCTTTCATTATGATCAATTGTGAACTGAAATTGATCACTTGGAATAGTGAGATGGCATTGGCACATGCCACCTTGATGGGATTGAATTGGAATCCCCTAGTATGTTTCCAACTCTACCAATTGGGGCAAGTCAGCCCGAGCATGCCCCAAATTATACATCTCTTCCCTCTCTTATTCCCACTTTTATGTTTAACAGGGATCACATTTCAGTTAATTTTCAACACTTAAGAATAACTGTGTGATAATTACAGAATTAAACCAGTCATATTAAGTAGAACAGACAAAAAAAAATACTATGAGGGATAATGTATTAAGTTGTCCATTAGCAGTCAGGGCTATGCTGATCAAGTCACCATTTCTCATAGTGTCCATTTCACTTCAGGAGGTTTCCTTTTTGGTGTTCAGTCAGTTGTCACCGATCAGGGAGAGCATATGGTATTTGTCCCTTTGGGACTGGCTTACTTCACTCAGCATGATGTGTTCCAGATTCCTCCATTTTGTTGCAAATGACTGGATTTCGTTGTTTCTTACTGCGGTATAGTATTCTAAAGAATACATATCCCATAATTTCTTTATCCAGTCTACCGTTGATGGGCATTTAGGTTGGTTCCAGGTCTTGGCTATTGTGAATTGTGCTGCAATAAACATTAGGGTGCAGACCGCTTTTTTCTTTATCAATTTAAACTCCTTTGGGTAAATTCCAAGGAGTGGGATGGCTGGGTCGAACGGTAGGGTTATATTCAGGTTTCTGAGGAATCTCCAGACTGATTTCCATAGTGGCTTGACCAGTTTGCATTCCCACCAACAGTGGGTTAGTGTCCCTTTTTCCCCACATCCTCGCCAGCATCTGTTGTTGGTAGATTTCTGTATGTGAGCCATTCTAACCGGGGTGAGGTGAAACCTCATTGTGGTTTTGATTTGCATTTCCCTGATTGCTAGTGACCTTGAACATTTTTTCATGTGCCTGTTGGCCATTTGGATTTCCTCTTTTGAAAAATGTCTATTGAAGTCCTTGGCCCATCTCTTAAGTGGGTTGTTGGTTTTGTTTTTGTGGAGTTTCTTGATCTCTTTGTAGATTCTGGTTATTAACCCTTTATCTGTTGCATAGTTTGCAAATATTTTTTCCCATTCTGTTGGTTGTCTCTTCACTCTCCTGACTGTTTCTTTTGCAGTACAGAAACTTCTCAATTTGATGCAATCCCAATAGTTGATTTTGGCTTTGACTGCCTGTGCCTCCCGGGTCTTTTCCAGAAATTCTTTGCCTGTGCCAATATCTTGAAGGGTTTCTCCAATGTTCTCTAATAACTTAATGGTGTCAGGACGTAGATTTAGGTCTTTAATCCACGTTGAGTGGATTTTTGTGTAAGGTGTAAGGTAGGGGTCTTGCTTCATGCTTCTGCACGTGGAAATCCAGTTTTCCCAGCACCATTTATTGAATAGACTGTCCTTGCTCCAGGAATTAGTTTTAGATCCTTGATCAAATATAAGTTGGCTGTAGGTGTTTGGATTGATTTCTGGTGTTTCAATTCTGTTCCATTGGTCTATCCATCTGTTTCTGTACCAGTACCATGCTGTTTTGATTACAACTGCCCTGTAGTATGTCCTGAAGTCTGGTATTGTGATGCCTCCGGCTTTGTTTTTGTTGTACAAGATTGCTTTAGCTATTCGAGGTCTCTTGTGCCTCCATATGAATTTCAGCATCATTTTTTCTAGATCTGAGAAGAATGTCTTTGGTATCTTGATTGGGATTGCATTGAATCTATAAATTGCTTTTGGGAGAATGGACATTGTGATGATGTTGATTCTTCCAATCCATGAGCATGGAAGATTTTTCCATTTCTTGGTATCCTTTTCTATTTCTTTCTTTAAGGTTTTGTAATTTTCATCGTAGAGATCTTTAACGTCCTTGGTTAAGTTTATTCCAAGGTATTTGATTGTTTTTGTAGCTATTGTGAATGGGATTGATCTTAGCAGTTCTTTCTCAGTCATGGCATTACTTGTGTATACAAAGGCTGTTGATTTTTGTGCATTGATTTTATATCCTGCCACTTTGCCAAACTCCTCTATGAGTTCCAATAGTCTCTTAGTAGAGTTCTTTGGATATTCTAAGTACAGAATCATGTCATCTGCAAAGAGGGATAGTTTGACTTCTTCCTTCTTGATTTGTATTCCTTTGATTTCTTTTTCTTGTCTGATGGCTCTGGCTAAAACTTCCAGAACTATGTTAAATAGCAGTGGTGAGAGTGGGCATCCCTGCCTGGTGCCAGATTTCAGTGGAAATGCTTCCAACTTTTCCCCATTCAATAGGATGCTGGCTGTGGGTTTTTCATAAATTGCTTTGATTATATTGAGGACTGTTCCTTCTATACCCAATTTGCTTAGAGTTTTCATCATGAAAGGGTGTTGAATTTTATCAAATGCTTTCTCTGCATCAATTGAGATAACCATATGGTTTTTCTTCTGCAGTCTGTTTATGTGGTGAATCACATTGATTGATTTGCGAATGTTGAACCATCCCTGCATACCAGGGATGAATCCCACTTGGTCTGGGTGGATGATTTTCCTGATGTGTTGTTGTATTCTATTGGCCAGAATTTTATTGAGGATTTTTGCATCTATGTTCATCAGGGATATTGGTCTGTAATTTTCTTTCAGTGCTGCATCTTTCTCTGGCTTAGGGATTAAGGTGATGCTGGCTTCATAGAAAGAATTTGGGAGGATTCCCTCTTTTTTGATTGTTCTGAATAGTTTGAGAAGAAATGGGATTAGTTCTTCTTTAAATGTCTGGTAGAATTCAGCAGTGAATCCATCTGGTCCTGGGCTTTTCTTTGTTGGGAGGGCCTTTATTACTGTTTCAATTTCTGTTTCAGTTATGGGTCTATTTAGGTTTTCGATGTCTTCATGGTTCAATTTTGGTAGATTGCATGTGTCCAGGAATCTATCCATTTCTGATAGGTTTTCCTGTTTGCTGGCATACAGGTCCTTGTAGTAATTTCTGATGATTCTTTTTATTTCTGTGGTGTCTGTTGTTACATTTCCTTTTTCATCTCTGATTTTATTGATTTGGGTCTTTTCTCTTCTTTTTTTAGTTAGTTGGGCCAATGGGGTGTCAATTTTGTTTATTTTTTCAAAAAACCAGCTTCTTGCTTGGCTGATTTTTTGTAATGTTTTTTTTTGGATTCAATCCTGTTAATTTCTTCTCTGGTTTTTTTTTTATTTTTTATTTTTTATTTTTTTTATTTTTTTTTATCTTTTATTTAATGAATATAAATTACCAAAGTACGTCTCATGGGTTACAATGGCTTTCCCCCCATACCGTCCCTCCCACCCACCACCCTCCCCTTTCCCACTCCCTCTCCCCTTCCATTCACATCAAGATTCATTTTCGATTATCTTAGTATACAGAAGATCAGCTTAGTATACCTTAAGTAAGGATTTCAACAGTTTGTTCCCACACAGAAACATAAAGTGAAAAATAATAGATGATTTTTTTTTAAATGATGATGAAATCAGATCAGACCTATTGTCATGTTTAATCCCAGTGAGAGTCAAGTTGGGAATTGATAGTTTCTTTTTTTTTTTTTTTAACAGAAGATCAGTTTAGTGTACATTAAGTAAAGATTTCAATCGTTTGCACCCCCATAGAAACACAAAGTGAAATATACTGTTTGAGTACTCGTTATAGCATTAAGCCTCAGTGTACAGCACATTAAGGACAGAGATCCTACAT